TATATTATATTATATTATATTATATTATATTATATTATATTATATTATATTATATTATATTATATTATATTATATTATTATAATATAATAATAATTTTATATTATTAACGTTATTATTATATTATTATTAATAATATTATTATATTAATATATTAATATATTAATATTATTAACAATAACTATAATATAATAATCATAATTAATATAATAATAAAAGTGATAAATCATGTTTGAATTTTTTGACCTGATCTGATTTGAATGTTTCTGATCTGATCTGAATGTTTCTGATCTGGTCTGATCTGGTCTGAATCTTTCTGATCTGATCTGAATGTTGCTGATCTGATCTGAATCTTTCTGATCTGAATGTTTCTGATCTGATCTGATCTGATCTGAATCTTTCTGATCTGATCTGATCTGATCTGAATCTTTCTGATCTGATCTGAATAAAATAAGATTAAGGAATAAGTAATAAGATTAAGACGAACGGAACATCTTCTAAGAAACAGAATCAGTTTCAAACACCCCCTAATACGTAGTAATACGGAGTACTCCCGTTTGGTCATTGGAGGAGAAGTTTTAACTTTTCAAAAATCTAAAAAAACTTCTCACTGCAGCACTCCCAAGGAGGAGGTCACAGATTTGAATCGCATCCCAGTTCAAGGATGTTGACTTTAACATTAAACAGATACTATATAGATTAGAAAGAATTGTACAAAAAAAATCTAAAAAAAACTTCTCATTTTTATAAATATAACAAATTTTTATCATAAAAACAACCCGCTTATATTAATATCAATAGGACTCAAATCGTTACAAACAAGCTCAAAAAGATCAATCATGACAACCATCCCTAACCAACTAGCACTGTCAACCTTATGGTTAGACTCAGTGACGATCACCCCTAGCAATACGAATTGTTAATCATCAAATGGGTGTGACACAACAATCATTGGTCATATAGATTTTTCTGACGACATAATATCTAGTCGATCATAATTATAGACCTAAAACTAAAGACATCAACAAAAAACAGAGTAACATAAAACATAACGCGAAAAATAAAATTAATTGATAAATCTTCCAAACCCTAACACCTCGATCATTCAGGAGGGGGGGGGGGGGGGGGGGCGAACCACCGATCTGTCTTTTCCCTTGCTCAGCCCTTCACATTCCCCGTCTTCTCGTTGCCCGTTACGCCTCCACTACCACCACTGTCTTCTATATCCATGCTGATTAGCTAGAAACTAACTCTTCGACCTCCTCCTCAATTGTAGGAATGAGACAACGCTGCTCTAGATCTTCCATAGAAGACATGATTATTGTTTCTTGAACCTTGGATTCGTTTCTAAAAGCTACAACCGCACTCATGCACGCCTCCTTTAAGATTGACTTGCCCAAGTCGAGACAAGTGATCAGAAAACAAAAATGAAATCTTGTTGCTGCTTCGAGATACAATGAATAATCTGAAAATCACCTAAATCCTAAAACCAGAACTCTAAAAGCCTAGAAAAGAAGAATCACACAAACTATTGGTGGAAGGAAACCCTAATAACAAAACCCTACACGACGCTAAGCCACTAGGGAGAAGTTGCGTTGAGTAATTCCTATTTTTAAGGAGTATGAAATATAAGGACTATTCTCACGTTTTATTTAATTTTGTTTGATCTAAAATAAAATGCATATATGCTTAAAAATTCAAAACAAAACTTTAGGAATTACTTCCTCCATCGCGTGTTTTATGTATAAGAAAGATACATAATATGAACCATCCAATTTTTATTGTAAAAAGAAGTTGGAATTTATATTGAGAGGAAGAAAAAAAAAAGAATAGACTTTATTTTTAAATGGAGTATCTTGCAAAAATATGTGTTGAAGTACTACTAGAAATTCATTTACGGATCGGATTGGAAGAGGGGAAGTGTTTGAAAACTCATTCAAAACCGTTGAATAGGTAAAATTGTTTGATGTGTAATTTACAAAAAAAATCTATTGGTACACATTTTATACACACACTTACACACTCATGTTTGTGAAAAGTATTTTTTTTTGTCTGTATACAGACATAACGTATTTGAAAATGTGTTATGTCTGTATACAGACAAAAAAATACTCTTCACAAACATGAGTGTGTAAGTGTGTGTATGAAAAATGCGTGAATTGTGTAATTTAAGATCCTTGTAATGATAATCGCCAGCTCTTGAAGTTATACCCCGTTTGTTTTTTTTTGTTTTTTTTTTTGAAAGGCTTACCATCACTTGTTCATCGAGCTCAAAACTTGGATTATTCATACTGTAGATGAAAGTGATTGCTCTAGATAGGTGAGGATCTGTCATTCGGGTTCGTTCTTTATTTAGGGGTGTTTAATGTGATTCTCAAAACTGATTCTGCTCCTTCACGGAGCAGAAACATGAGCTGGAGTGTTTGTGTGAAATTCCAGAAACACTTCTGGTGCTCCAATTTACTCCCACAATCAATTTTTTTAGAAGTTGGGGGTACCAGCTTCTGAAAACTGATTCTAATTCTGCTTTAAAAAAGAAGCAGAATCAGAATCAGTTCCAAACACTCCCACCCCTTAGAGAAACTATCATTTCCTTCAAAAACTCTTTTGGCAGATCGGCAACTTGGGTAGCACTTCCAACCCTATAAAAAAATACTCCCTCCGTCCCATAATTATCTTCATTCTTTTCTTTTTGGTCCGTCCCAAATTTATCTCCTCTTTCCCTTTTTAGCAAAGGATTTGTGGTTCACAACCATTCTTACACATTTCTCTCTCCTCTGCACAACTCTCCACCACACATTTCCCACTTTCTTAATCTCCGTGCCCAGTCAAAACCGAAGTTAATTCTGGGACGGAGGGAGTATTGTTATCTAATCCCAATTGAACTTTTTATTTATACTCCCTATGTCTCTAAATAAAAGTATCACTTTCCTTTTCGGGTCATTCCTAAATAATTTTTTTTTTCCTTTTTGCAATCAAAACAGTGTCGAACATTGTCAAATAGTGTCCAAATAGTATCAAACATTGCCACACAAACTCACTTTTTTAATATGTGTGTAAAAGCTGGAGCCTTTTATATAGTGACGAGGGAGCTGAGTAGCATTTTAAACTATTAAATCTGATCTTAAACTATTAGATTTATGTGTCAACTTTTTCACATAACATGTAATTTTAGATTTCGCGTGCTGAATTGTGTAATAATAACAAAAAAAAATAAGATTGAAGTTTTCTACCCAACTGTTTCGTGATCAAAATACTGAAAAAGGTCAGACAAATTTAGTTTTCAAACTTACACATTGAAGTCACATTCAAACCATTTACACTTTGACTAGTCATATTTCCTTTGGTCATGAAACATTTTTCCTCATACCATTTTTCAGGCGTCATGTGTAATAGAACTCACCTACTATGAGATTCACGATGTTATTTAGATTATAAATGACAAGGGCGATATTTACCATAAATTAATAGGACAATTGGGGAATAACATTTACAAAGTTGATTGAAAAGGGATTAAATTTTAGTGTGGAATCATATCTAGGGGCCAAGATTGTTATTTCTCATTTAATTTGTTGAAGTATAAACTTTTGTGAACAAAATATTATCAAAAACTAGAAAATAAAGTAATAAAATAAATAACTAAGAGCATGTTTGGCAACACTGAAATTGGCTGAACAGCAGAATGCTGTATTGGCTGATTCTGCCGATTTATGAAAAATTTAAATTAAAAATATATTTTATTAATAAAATCAAGAAAAAATTATATGTAAAAATTGCTGAAATGGTCCTCTACAGTAACTTCAGCCAAAACAGCCAGAAAAGTAACTCCAACCTTACTTTTTCATAATATTACATATTTTAGCATGCGAAATCAAAAGTTACGTGTTTGGTGAAAAAATTGGTTGATAAGCCTGGTAAGCCGAATAAGCCGAATAACAGTACTAACGGGCTCTAAGTAGTAAAGGAAATCAAAATGTATGAGAACTTAGCTTCTTTAATTTATAACTTTCAATTATTCATGTTTTAAATAGATGCATTTTATTCTTTTTATGTCCTTAATTGATAACTTATTTTTTGGTTTTGAATTGAAAACTTTAAATTAGCAAGGCGTCATTAGAGATCGAAATTAATTGGTTGAAAGAAGGAAAACATATGATTATTAATTTAAGAATAGAAGATAATTTTATCATTTAAAGAATGTAATCATATTTTTTTCGATTTAAACATTAGAATATTTTGCTATTGTTTCAATGACTATCCTGGTTTATGCAAAAAACTGCCAAGTCCAATATGCATAAACTAAGTGTCCATTTGATAACACTGAAATTGGTTAAATTGATTGATTCTGTTGAACTTTATGAAGTTCTGACTGAAGTAATCCGATTGACTGATTCTGCTGAAATATGGGAAAAAAAATATGTATTTTATTAATAAAATACAGAACAAAAATATACGAACAATAGCTAAAAATGTCTTCTACAGTAACTTTTTTTTTATTATTACACAACTCAGCATGACAAATCAAAAATTATGTTTATGATAAAAAAGATGTGATAACTCCGCTATCCAACTAAAAACTGGGTCATCATACTTGTCATACATTTGATTGGTCTAATGCAACATATAACTTTCAATTTTCATTGAAGTAATTCAATTACACTATTTTGATTGCTCATAGAAAAATACGGAGTATATGGTACAATAGAATCTACCAAAAACGTTGGCCGGTAAAGATTATAAACCAAATAACAAGATTAGCAAACAGGATCAACAAAATAGGTAGACAGTTGTTTTTATTACTACTTGCATATACGTAGCATATATGTATCTAACAGTAACACAAGTAGTATTGTTATTTTGTTCTACTAATGACTAATGAGTAATAACTGGTGAATGTTATGACTTATGACGGGGGCTTTCTGTAATTAGACGATTTGAGCCGTGGAAGAAATGTCGTCATTATAATACGGACTGACGGAGTAATATTGACAAAACAGATCTATTCAAATTTCAAATTTCAAACCAACACTCTCAACGTGTTTAACACTGTTTCTTCAGTTGATCTGTTTGGACCATTTACATTAATTTATACGGAGTATTATTATACAGACAATAACACCCACGAATTACTACATCTAACCACCCTGCGTGATTATTATTATATCAGAAAAAGACTCTTATTTACTTGCATATGTCAAGGTCAAACATGTGACTTTTAGTCTCCCTAGTATAGAATTATTGTGGTTCCTCGTCTTATTTCTTCAATGCTTTGTTGCAGAGAGCTTCATAGTTTATACAGTGTGAACAGTAGAAGACTCTCCCAATTCTAAGGTAATATTTTAAAAAAACCTTATCTTTTATCATTTTTTATTCATATATTAACTTAATGCGAGACCATTTTCAACCTTTTGGTGCGTCGTCATGCATGGGTCTACATATAAACTGTGTGGATTTCCAACTGGAAGGGGAGCGGGAAAAAGCCCTTTCTTTCTATGATCTGCTTTTCTGGGTGTGGGTCAGCATCTGTCATTTGATGATTTCTTGGAATCTTGAGACACGATTAGAATATAAATAACCCACTTTCCTGATTTTGTTTCTTCATTTAATAGAAGTCCCAATTTTCTCTTTTTTTAGAAAGGGAAGAAAAGAGAAATTGAAGCTGGGCAGTGAGGGGTAGCCATCAAATGAGTTGTTAAAATGCATTAGTCTTGTGTAGGTGTGGCCACTGTGTTTGGTGTCCAAAATGTCTTTTGTTAATCGTTGTTTGCTTAGGAATTGATGCTTTTGAGGATCAGGTAAGAGGCTCCATATCTGAGGTGTAATTTGTTTGGTGATTGTTGGATTCATCTTTACTTTCCAAGCAAAATAGGGTTGGGGAAAGTTCCAGAAATCCACCTTTAATTCAATTCTCAATAACCACTACTTTAAAGATTCTTTCTTTTTTTATTTGTATTTGTTTGCCTTTACCATCTACTCAAACTTCTCAAACAAGTCATGTGATTTCTGGCCTTCTGGGCTACTTTTTATCTTCATTTAAGTATGTGGATCTGAAATCAAACAGAATTAATTGTCAATAGTGAATCACTGGAATTGAACTTGGAGAATAAGATGAGATTGTGTTTGAAGTGAGTGGGGGGAGGAGGAGATGGAGAAGAGGAGTTGGCTGTGGCGGAAGAGGTCGGCTGACAAGGTTCCTAGTGGTGAAACTGAAAGCTCTGGTTCCATTTCATCCCATTCTGAGAGATTCTCCGATGATCAGGTATCTATCTTACATTCATTCTTTCCCGTCAAGAACCTATTTCTTAATTTTCATTTTGTTCAGAGTATAATACATTTTCTTAGGGTAAGTATAATACATTGAATGTATAAGATTTTGGATTACTCTTTTAATGACATTAGACTTTTAGAGTGAAAACCCAAGTTTCTATATAGTGTTCCAGCTAAATTAGATTTTGGTTTGATTTTTTGTTTCGTATGCATAACTATGGATAGTCCCCTTTAAGTCTTTTTTTGGCCTATTTATCCACTTTTTTATTTGTCCCACTAACAATGTATATAATACTAAGATCACAAACTACTCTTGCTATTAAATTAACTAGCTAGGTTTGTGTCTAAAATGTTTTAAGTTGGATTAGTCATCAAATGGGTTTAAACTTTAAACTATGTGCATCATATTCCTCTTGATAACCAGATCCAGTTATGAATTATATTGCTTCAAAGGGAAAATGTTGGGCAGAGCTGACTGTAAACAGAACATTTTAGGCAGAATAAAAGTAATGCTGTAGAGTACTGTGGGAGAAATGAATATTCTACAGTTTTATATTGGCATATACCAGAGTGTGATAGGGATTTTTTAATTTATGTCAGATGCAAATTTAAATTTTCTGAAATGTGTGATCTTGTTTTGTTTGTGGATTGCTAAATACAGGCTTGAGATTTGAGGTGCTCTGTTTCTGTTATTTCATTTTTTAAGGGAAAAAAGAAATCTTATTTGGAAGACGATAGTTTCCTGATGGCCAGAAGTTAATGAATATGTATGATGCTGCACAGACATTTATTTATTGGTCAAAGCGAACAAGACCAATACAACTGGTTGCCATCTTGTTGTGTTTATTGGCTATTAAGCAAACTTCAAATTGAATGTAGTTGTTGACTTTGAAATTAATATATCCATATGTATTCTTAGGCTGTGTTTGTATATGCTGGTGGTTGTGGCCTTGAGAGGTTATTTATATTAAGATTATTTAATGGATGTTTAATATGGAGTAGCCAGAGTGGCAAGTGTTTGAAAAGTAGCCATTTATAAACATTAAACAGTGCTGAAATTAAGCAGAAACAACTCAAAAACCTTTGTTTTATTAATTTTGTAGTAAAAAAAATTGCTTTAAAAGGTGAATAATTTATGGAGCCATAAATGACTCATTTATGGAATCATAAAGGTTTACTTGATATCATCATCACTCACTCACTCTTATAATCGGATTATAGCCATTTTAACAATGCTAATGGCAATGGTGATGAAAGCATATACAAGTCCTGATTTTTTTGTTTAGAAAGATGTTTCAAATACTGCCTTAGTTGCCCAAGATATGGAAACTGGGATTGAAGTCATTAAACCAGCTCTATATGACTATTTTATTGGCATCCTCAGCTTTTTTTTGGGATTGACAAAGACTGGTTTTCCCAACTGCTTGCTTTAGTAACCAACTCTTGCATGGTGATGTATGTTATTTTCCCTGATAAAGGTCATCCCAAATCATACTATTCAATCACCGGAAGTAACGTCAAAAAGCACATCAAACGATGAAGAACACAATGAGACCGTGAAGTCTCTATCTGCAAAACTGTCGGAAGCTCTGCTTAACATCCGTGCTAAAGAAGACTTGGTAAAGCAGCATTCGAAAGTTGCCGAGGAAGCCGTCTCAGGTAGCTTCTGTTTCTCTCTTCTCTTCTTAATGTGTAAAATTTACTTGAGACTGCTTTTACATCTTTACCAATACCACAGGTTATTTTGTCATTCTAGTTAATTCTCTTTACTGTAATACTTATAGTTTACAGTTCACAATAATAATTTTCCTCTAATAATGCAGCATAAATCTGTTGCTCATAATGCTGCTTTTAGTTGGTGAGGGTTGTCAAATCTTTAGGTTTCGTTTGGTAACCAGAATAAGCCTGTTAAGTATTCTTTCATCAAAATGACTGAATCTGCTTAACTTCTTTATTTGAAAGGAAATGTGTTTAGTAGCATTATTTCAGCCAAATAAATTAAACCAAAAGCTACTTAATGCACATTTGGTAGCCACATTTTTGGTTTATCAACCTTCAGCAGTTTTTATCAAAACTCATTTCAGTTTTTCCATACATCTTTATTTACTAATAACATATTTTGCCAACAGTTTTTATAAACTTTAGCAGATTCAACATTTCATAGTTTCTATAATTTCAACATATTAAGCAGAATTAACTTCCCAGTGTGACCAAACAATTCTTGTGAACATTGCATCCAGAAAAAACTTATTATGAACACCAAACAGGGCCTAAGTGGCTCTTGGCGTTCTTGGGTGAAACGGGTGACCATCTCTGCTTTGAACTAGACAAAATATGCCTGACAATTCTTTCTGTTTACCATCACCATGTCAGGTTGGGAAAAGGCCGAAGCTGAAGTTCTGGTTCTGAAGAAACAAGTTGAAGCTGCAACAGAAAAGAACACGGTCCTTGAACATCGCACCACTCAACTTGATGGAGCACTCAAAGAGTGTCTTAGACAGCTCCGACAAACAAGGGAAGATCACGAAGAGAAGATTCTAGAAGCCATATGCACCACATCCTCTCAATGGGAGTCCACAAAGTCTCAGCTTGAGAAACAGCTCTCCGAGCTCCAGTCTCAACTAGAAACCGCTAGATCTGAAGCAGTCATGAGCAATCTAGCTGCAGAAACCGCCAGTAGGCAGCGTTTGGAGAGCGTAAAACGGGCGAACAAGCTTGAAGGTGAGTGTCGCATGCTGAAGGCACTCGCTGCCAAGACATCATCACCATCGTCGGCCGCTTCCACTGATAGCAAATCCGATAGAGTGTCTGGAATCGAGAACGTGGTTAATCGGTCCGGCAAATCCGATTCTGCTCGTACTTCAGAATTGAATCTAATGGACGATTTTCTGGAGATGGAGAGGATTGCCTCTTCGCACGAGAACCGGGCCAATGCATCCATCATGAACCGGACGAACGAGGGGGAGGAAAAACTGCAGAATTTGGAGGCAGAGAAAGCGAAACTGGAGATGGAATTGAATCGATGCCAGTTCCATCTGAAAAAGTCAAACGGTCAACTAAAAGATACAGAGAGAAAGTTGGTAGAGGTCAGAGCTGAGTTAGCTTTGGCAAACAAAATGTTTAAACAAAGTGTAGAGAAAACGGAAAAGGAAGTGGTGGAGCTTCGGAATAAGTTAGATACTGCACAGAAAGGAAAGAAAACCATTGAAGCTGAACTTGAGGATACAAAGCTTGAACTCAAGAAATCAATGGAGCGGTTAGAGGAAGCAGAGGCGAAATTCTTGGAGATTCATACTCAGTTGGAAAAGGCAAATGGAACAAAGTGTGCTGTTGAGTCTGAACTGAAGGATAGCAATGCAATGAGAGAGGAATTAGAGTTTAGACTCAAAGGTGCAGAGTTTGAAATGCAGAAATTGCAGTCAAGAGTTTGTTCTCTTGAAGAAGAGGTGAAGAAGGAACAGAGGATTTCAGAAGAAGCCATTGCAAAGTTGAAGAAACTGGAGAGTTTGCACTTAGAACAGACATTCCAGATACAGAAAGCGGGAAATATAGCAGACCTAAAATTCGATAAGGTTAGTTTTCCTTCTGAGATCTTTTTTGTTTTACTAGTAAGAACTAAGGGCTGGTTTTCAATCTGTTTTGTTTTACTAGCGGGAAATATCTGTTTTGTTTATATATATATAAATGTATATAAAGAGGAAGCGATTTAGCTCAGCTGGTCGCCGACTCACTCTCCCTTATTGGAGGTCCTGGGTTCAATACTCAATGGAATGAGTTTGATCCCACCAACCCCCCGACCCGAACCTCATCGAGGTAAACATATTTAGTGTATATAAATATTTGTATGGTAGCTTGATTCTAAGATCTTATGACCAAAGTTACAATCCCCGAGTTACGGTCTCTCAAGCCCCTCCCCATCCATGCTTGGATCTTGAGTTTAATGACCTTACATAGAAGTCCTAATGGATCAACTTAATTTAAAACACTATCCATTATAATCATAATTTTAACAAATTCCATCAATTGAGTCATTCTAGTCTTACCAAACTTCTGCTTACTCATACTGATTTCTACAATTTGTTTATGTGTTTTTCAGGAAAGAGAATTGGCAGTGGCTGCTACTAGATTTGAGGAGTGCAAAAAGACTATTGCCTCCATTGGTAGGCAGCTGGAAACTTTTTCTATCTTCGAAGATTCCACAATCTGCTCCTAGAGACTCAGAGACTCACATCCTCAAAAACTCTTTTAAAACCAGTTCTCAGTCATCTGAAACTAACTGTTCATCACTCATCAGACTTCATTAATGAAAAGCTGAAAATGTCAAATGGCCACCAACTGAAGAGCTGAATATCAGGACCTGGGAAGTCTGAGGTATAATTCTTTTGTCTCGAAGTGGAGTTTTCTGTAGGATTTTTCGGCGAGATTAATTCTTTTTAAGATGAATTAACACGTGAGATGCAAGTAATAGTGAACTGCTATTTCTTGGAGGGTAATTTTTCTGTTCAATTCGAATTGTTGCTTTGTGCTCCGGCGTCAAATGTATACTACAAACTCAGATATGCATAGATAGTGATATCAAAATATTACCCTATTTCCTCATATGTTATCGCATCTTTTCATGTTGATCTGCCCAAAACACGTTACATATTCCATACGTAGTATTTGGTAATATTGGTGTTTTTCAGATTTATCATACTCTATGTATACTAATTTTGCATTGAAGTTGTCTTGTTTTACATTTGGTCCTCTAAAGGTCCGAAATATGGGTGATTTTCTTACATCATAAAAATATTCAGTCCTAAAATATGGCTTTCTTTATTCATTTCCTATAACATTGGTCACATGTTTATATCTGCCAAGTGTTACAGTTTTTTCAACAGTGGTAAATCTTAGTACGGAGTAGTTCTTTTTTGGGTGAGTTAGACCCACTTTAATAAAGTCAACACAATTAATTTTCAATTGTGACATAAAAAATAAACAAATACAACTCAATTGATGGAAATTAATACAAAGGTTGAAAATGTCGAGATTAAACACATTGAAACCTCGTTTAAATGTTGAAGTTGTAGATCTTGTTGAAATTTTGAGCCCAAATTGTTGAGTGATTGAAAAATACTTTGACTTCTATGTTTTATTAATAGATTAAATAACATTTTATATCACAAAATGGAGTTAGAGGTGTCATTTTCATTTCGGGTGACTACTGACTAGTTTAATTTCACACCTGAAGCGTAATAATCCAAAGCTTTTTATTATTAATTCGTGAGAATAATTTCTCAGTTTATTTTGACACAAATATGCTTTTCAAACTCGAGTATTTTATTAATATTCCAATTGAGTTGTGTCCAGACAAACACATTTACACTTCAACAAATCTTAATTATTTTAAATACTTGTCCCAATTTGAACCACATGTTTTTCTAAACTGATAAATTATTACTCGTATAAGTTGGGCCATGGACACCCTGTACCATGCTGTTATTATCATCATCATCTTCATTTGGCCCTTAGTATGCTGACGTGGTGAACACATGAGTAATAAAATATGTTTTTCCATTTCTTTATGATTAAATAAACATATCCACACCAAGCACCATGCAAATCTAATAAAGTGTGCACCTAAAATATACTCCGTAGAAATAACAAAGCTCCCACCTAACCTAAAAATCTAAAAGAGCAGCCTTCCTCAATAACAGCCGTCCATTTACATCTTGAAAGCGTCAAAGCATCTACAACAGTAGGCAGATTTTTTAGATTCATCTATTGTGGCATTGTTTTAATCTATACTATAAATGCAAAGTGTATAAGAAGAAATGAAAAGAATGAAAGAGACCAAGTTTTTCTTTTCATTCCTATAGGAAAGTGATTTAATTTGTTATTTGTGTGATAGATATAATTTTTTATAAACCACTACAATGCATTTTCACTCTCTTGATGCCAGTTTCAAATAAGGTTGCTATCTTTGCGAGACATTACGATTTAAGACTAATACATACTTCCTCCATTCCTTTTTAATTGCAACAGTCAACATTTCACGTTTGCCAACGCACAAGTTTGACCATTAATATCTGTAATTCCTTATTAGTAAAAAAATTAAAAAAATCATATTTTGAAAATTTAGAATAAGAAGAATTTAACAATATTTTTTAAAAATTTTATTTATTATACATCAATTAATAAAATGTAGTCAAAGTAGAACATGTGAATAGTGCAAAAAGTTCAATGTTGCAACTAAAAGAGAACGGAGGTAGTACATTACGATCTTAGAGCATCTAATTTGGATGCCATATGTTTTATTAAAGGAAGAACTTGACTTTGCATCATAGTTTTAGTTTAGGTAATATGAGACTTTACACCATATTTTGAGGGGAGAATCATTTAAATACTCCAAATTTTGATGAGATGTGAGGTAAGTACACAAAACTTACATATGTAATACTCGGTATATATACTCCGAATTTTACATAAAAAGTTATTTTCGAACCATGATTGTATGTTTTTACAAATACAAATTTGTTGGAATAGTTACATAATTTAAAATACTTCAAGCTTCGTTAGAATGCATATAACATTCTAAAATTTCATTTGTGAAATACTCCTCTGTCTCAATTTGTTTTGCAAAATCAACATTTTTTGGTCAACCAATATTAAAAGTCAATGCTCTCTATTGATAATTAATTCAGTTTTTAATAAAATAAAATTTACATATTCAGAAATTACATTAAAATCTCTTCATTTGTAAATCAATTTGGGACGGAGGTAGTAAATAATATTACACCCATTAAAATTTAATTTTAATTACATCTTCATAAATGTTTTGTGTATTTTATATTATATACTTAGCACCATAAAATTACATTTGTGAAAAAATATATACTCATGATGATAACAGAAATTTTATATAAAGTTTGGGATATATATAATACATGTGCAAGTTTGGGGTACTCATTTCACACCCCTCGAAAGTTTAAGATATTCAAATTATTTTCCCCTATTTTGAGAATCATTAATCGATGCATCTCATTTAATATAGAATCATTTGACTTGGTTCCTATATTCTTTCACAATTTTTGGACCAATGAAATACATACATTAATGATTTTTGAAATGGTATGCAAAGACCAATGTAGCTCAAAAATGAGATGCAAAGTTAAATTTTTTTCTATTAATATTTTTTAGCAACACTTGGTGGTTCTTGCGTCTCATGATTTGCCGTATTGAATATTGATTTCACGGCTCGCAATGTCTGACGATGTACCTGGCAAAAACGCTATCACAATCAATCAATTATCTAATTTGGAATTTGTTTATTTGAATATGACCTCAATATCACTTCAGACTAAATAAGAAAATATTTACCTCCGTCCTACTATGTTTGGGACAAAAGGGTGTGACACAACTTTTAAGAAAAAGTGGAATTGTGTTATTGGTATTGAATTTATAAATAGTGAATAAAGTAAGAATGAAATGTAACCACTCAAATATTATCAAATGGGGAAAATGGAAACTAATAATCCAACCTTTTAGCGGTCTTCTTTCAATAATCCCACCTTTTGATTATTCATGAATAATCCAACTTTTGCACCTCATCTTCATTCATTGGTCCCTGGTAGGTTAATGACCTACTATTCCAAGTTATTTTTTTTATCTTTCCAAAATATTATCTTCGTGAAAGATGAGATTTATGGTATAATGATTTGCAAAGATAAGAAAATAGCTTGGAATAGCAAGTCATCACCCGGTCAGGGACCAGTGAATGAAGATGAGGTGCAAAGGTTGGATTATTCATGAATAATCAAAAGGTGGTATTATTGAAAGAAGACCGCTAAAAGGTTGGATTATTAGTTTCCATTTTCCCTATCAAATATGGTATGAGACAAACATTATGGGACGGACAAAAAAAGTAAAACGGTACAAAGTTGGGGGCGGAAGAAGTAGTACAATATATCATGGTACATATTAAACTAAATTAGATTTGTATGTTCCGACAAGACTAACGATCATTATACACAAGAAAAATAAAACCTCTAAATATCAATTCGGACCGGACGGAAACACATCTAATCACATTTAGACTAGTTTACGCCAAAACAAAAGAAACTTTAACAAAATCAATAACCTGCTCGATTGAGCTAATAAATTTCAGTACATATAAACATGTTACTAGCTAGAATGTGATCAGCTGTGGATCCAAAGGTTCTCTAAAGGATGATAGGAATCCGCACGAGCTAGTTTTGCATTGACCAATATTGTCACAATTAGGTTCATTGATATCGGTTTCGAGTCTAATTCAACGGTCAATATTGTATTTCTTTCATTGTCAAGATTTAATTTAGATGGCTCGTGTAGGAAGTTTGAACAAAAAATGGAATTAGGGCATTAGTTGATCGATTCCATTTCTCATAAATGTACAAACTAATCAAACTTGTACCACTGATTTACTGTTCCCGATTGCGAACCAGAATGTTTATTCATAAGCTGCACAAACACTCACAAGCGTAGTCCGGTTCTGGTCAACACCAAGGACAATGTCCTACTCTACAGGTCATTTACCAATACTTGTTTGTACTTGGTTTAAGTATGATAAAATTTCTATAAAGCGTTTCATGATCATAAAGTGACATACTAGAAAATCGTGCTTCCATTTTATGTCACCTTTTATTTTGTGTTGTGTTTAAAATCAGCCAATCCAATTTAAAGTAACGTCAATTTAGTTGAGAGTCTTGAGACTCTTATTGTATTCGGTCCGTAAAGATTATGTTACGATTTGGCAAAGATAAACGATAAATTAAGAGCAAGAACACAAGAATTAACGTGGTTCACACAATCGGGTTGATTGTGCTAGTCCACGGCGAACGAGAGAGAGGATGTACTATTATCAGCGTCCCAAGAGGTTTACAAGTACATAAGAGTCGTTTAAATAGGTTTAAGAAAACCTAAACAGAGATTAGAGCCGCAGGCCCTAATTAAAATCAAAGCCCGTAATAAAAAAATCCCGTAGACCCGGTCGGGTGCCCCCCTTGACCCGGTCGGGTCTCTTCACAAAATTCACGCCCGGGTCGATACCAGGGCGGGTATCCAAAACAGAAGCTATAAACCATCACTGACCCGGTCGGGTGCCTCACCTGACCCGGTTGGGTCTCACGTTCCAGTGAGTTCCCAGGTCTCTGCTTCAACATACCCGGTCGAGTGACCCAATATACCCGGTCGGGTGACTGCTTTAAAATTCTGAACAAGACTCCATCTTCAACAATCTCCCACTTGGAGGCTTGGTCAACAATCATCTGCCATCCAAGAACATGTATCTTCTGTAAAACCCCTGATCTCTCTCTCTCTCGTCCACGCCTTCTCATCAAGTATCTGGAAGGCCCGTTGAAGCCATGCATAGCTTCAACTTCTCCGTTGTCACCGCCTTGGTAAGCATGTCTGCTGGATTCTTCGTACCAAGGATCTTCTTCAAACTTATAGTACCATCTTCAATCAATTCTCGAATGAAATGATACCGCATCTTGATGTGTTTCGTTCTGCTGTGAAACACCGGATTCTTCGCGAGATGAATAGCACTCTAGTTGTCACAATATAGACCGCAATCTCCCTGCTTCATGCCCAACTCTGAAAGAAAGTTCTTCAACCAGATCAACTCTTTGGCCGCTTCAGCAATGGCCATATATTCTGCT